GCACGATCGTTGCTTTATCATGGCATCAGTTTTGAAGCTATAATATTGCCATCAAGTAGCTTTGTTCTGTGGCTACCTTTTTGGGACTGGCAATACCATTTAAATAGCTTTTGTTAAGCACTCCTGTTGCTGGAGTGGACAGGAGTGGTTAAATAGAGTCTAGTCAAGTAGACAGAATATGTACGGGTACTTTCACATATAGATAGCATTAAGAAATCTTCTTGAAAACAGATCAAGGGAAGGCTGAGGAGAGGGCAGATGAGGTATTGCAGTCTGGAGTGGGGAAAATTAATCTGTTTCCTTTTCTCCCAAAACCCAGCTTCAGTTTACAAGCTGAAATCCCTATGTACATCCGTACTTTAGTACCCATACGTGGTTCAAAAGTGTTCTATTATAACTGATGACAGTGGGTAACAGAAGAAAAAGCTGAATAATTGGACAGGTACAGCTGTCCTTAAATCAGTGAAGCAAAATATACACTGAAATATTTACATTCCCTTTCCTTCCTCCACTCCTGGAGCTCCCAGTTATCTAAGCCCCAGCCCTAAAGTGTCTTCAGCTGGCACTTTCAGCTATACTAACAAGCATGTCAGCTAAGGAGAGAATGTTGAGTTGGAACACTGATGGATTAAGGCTCTGGCTGTTTTACTTGTCCAGCTCCTGGACTGTATTATGAATCATAATTTCAGTGTCTTTGGGCAACATTGCCAAGCATGTCTGTAGAGACCATATTACAATGTCAGAACAATGTCAATTCTAGTTAAATAATATATTTTAATCAAAAATAATTAAAATAACATCAGGGTTTTGACAGCTTTACCACCCAAGCTGGGAAATCCTGGCTTAAGGCTCCCATAGGACTTTAAACTAGACCCTCTTTTTAATTTTATGTTGACATAATTAATAAACAATGCTTCATTTTCACTTTGTTTTATGCCATAACAGCTCTTCAATCCAATTACAACATTGTAGCTTTCTCCAGGATACTATTTATTGCACGTACAAAATAATCTTTATATGATAAAGAGAAATTGTTGCATGCTGTGCGTTAGAATTGTGTGTTTGCATATTTTAGATGCCCTGTCCTATTAAGAAAAAATGGGGTGTTTAGCTTTGTTAAAACAATATATTTTCCTAAAGGCTGCAGGTTATTCATAGATCCTCCCAACACAGCCAGTCTGAGCTTGGCTTTGGGGTCCATGTAAAACCATGGCATAGGTTCTTTCATTTTCCGGGGGAAGATACCAGATCAATTTATAGCTGAAGGGGGCAGTGCTATTCAGGCTGTCATTGATGGCACTAAGGCCACTGCAGATTTCCTGCCAACTGCCTTCAGCTGAGTCAGCTCTTCTGCCTACCAGCTAGACTGCATGACTGGAGGCCACAAGGAGGGCCAGCTCAGGAACATGAGAGGTGGCATGGTCAAGCTGACTAAGCAAGGGCCTAATCCCAATGCTGACACAGACTCCCTCTGTGACCTTTGTCCTGTTACACACACACAGGTCAACATTTTCAAACTTGGCCCTGGTACAGTTTAGATCAGCCTAAGTGGTGCTCTACATTGCATCTGGCTGACAAAGTTCTAGCAGCTGAGAATCACTGTACTGTTTGTCTTTTTCTCCCAGCCACATCTTTGACCTGCTCTGAGGTTGGGGCCTCTAAAGGAGGTAACTTAGGGACAGCTAGAGGAATCTCCAGATAGTTACAACAGCTTTTCAGCTGTTCAGTGTTGCCTCTTTGATCTCCCTCAATATTGCGCGTTCACTTTCTGTTTTTCAAAGGGGGACCAGGCGTTTAACCCTACTAGTGTGTTTATAGTCTTAGAATTTGGGACTGATTTGCTCGCATTGATACGTAAAACTGAAGCCAAGTTCAAGGATTGTGTGCATTATAGTTTACTGTATGTAAAACTGGTAATGAAATTCCAGTTTGTATTATATATTGTATTATTTGACAAATAATGTATAACAATATAAAGATCTATTGTAAGATATAACAGGACTATGTTGAGGTCCCTATCATAGCTCTACTTTTTTTGGATCAGTTTCAAATCTGTTATATTGGAGTAACTCCCGAGTGACTCCTTTGCCTGCAGTGGTGTTACTCCAAATTACACCAGGGTAACTGAGATTAGATCTGGCTTCCTGCCTTTTGAAAGCTTGATTGTCAGTAATGCATTAACACCTTTTTTGCATAGAATTATAATTAGGGTTGTGAGTTTTTGGAATAGTGCAAGCCAACTTTCACAGTTAATCTCTATAGCACTGTTCGATGCCCTGGAGAGAGAGAGATTCTGTCTTGTCACTTTTAATTTCCTCTCAGCCTGTAACAGGTGCCCATTTGGAGATGACTATCCTTGATTTGAGATTTCCTGACAGACAATATTCAGTCTCTCTATTTTTGAACCATACTTGTGGTTTCCATATGTTATTTCAGCGACACCTATGCTTACTCCTAGCCAAATACTGAGAACATTAATGCACCCCAACATCTTATGTTGTCCCTTGTCTTATACTTAGATTGTAAGCTCTTTGGGGCAGGGACGGTCTCCTTGCTATGTGTTTGTACAGTACCTAGCACAGTGGACGCCTGATCTACAACAGAGGGCCTAAGTGTTAATACATAATACAAATATATAATAATCTTCATTTGGACACACTGAGGAAGGATCTTTTTTTTCTTTTCCTTGTTTTTCTTTTTGTTTTCTAAAAAGGCAGATAAAATATAAGTAATCCCAAAATAAAAGTATTGTGAGGAGCAAAGAATATATTGAATACTACACTATAACAAATGTATAGCTACCTAGGAACTTTTGCTACTGAATATGGCCACTTGGAACTTCATGGTAGCTGTGGGGACAGAATTTAGATTGCCCTACTCCAAAAGCACAGGCCCTCACCACTAGATTGAGTGGCCCCTTTAAGGTGTACAGGCAGGAAGGCGAAAAAAGCCTTTTCCCACTTTTCTTGCACTTCACATCCCCCTGTGTAGCAGCAAGGCATAATTACAAGCTCCGTGCTCTCCTTCAAAAGCTTCTTTTAGGACCCACTGGGCACAGCTGGTTGGCTGTGAAGGGGAGTGCATGTTTCATCATAAGCGGCAACGTAGGGATGCATTTCCTCTATGCTCCAAGAAGCTCCAGAAGGGATTGTACCAGCACAGTTCCTCCTGGTGTTCCCTCTTGGGTGGGGGTGCATCTCTACACCATTTCCAAAGCACAGCAATATATAATGGCCCTTAGCTGTTAATAAAAATAAAAGGGACTGTTCGCCTATAGAGCCTATATAAACAATTAAGCACTTTTGATTTTATTCAGTAGAGGGCAGTGGCGCACACGCACACTAGCATGTTCAACTGCACTGCTCTTTGTCAGGAAAACATTGATTATATAAGAAACTAATCTGTGCAGGTCTCCATTTTGTGCTTCTAATGCAAAGCCTCCATTATTGTGTTCATCAATGGAATGAAAAATTTAAATCTTATCATACAACGTCTTGATCAAAAGATTTTTTTTTTATAACAGCTTTTAACCAGGAATAGAAAGGACTAAATGTCTGTTCCTGTGTTTTGATCAAATATGGAGGTCAAGATAAAGCAAAGAGCAGTTACGAGGTGCAATGCTCTTTTTAGGAAAAGGCATGGTACTTTCATTGTCAAATTGCACTTAGCTGTGTTTAAGTATCCCTTTTTTTCTTCTTCCTTTTTCATCTAAAAATTTGTTGTAAGGCAGATTTCAGAGTAACAGCCGTGTTAGTCTGTATTCGCAAAAAGAAAAGGAGTACTTGTGGCACCTTAGAGACTAACCACTTTATTTGAGCATGAGCTTTCGTGAGCTACAGCTCACTTCATCGGATGCATACCGTGGAAACTGCAGCAGACTTTATGTACACACAGAGATCATGAAACAATACCTCTTCCCACCCCACTGTCCTGCTGGTAATAGCTTATCTAAAGTGATCATCAAGTTGGGCCATTTCCAGCACAAATCCAGGTTTTCTCACCCTCCACCCTCCTGCTGGTAATAGCCCATCCAAAGTGACAGCTCTCTACACAATGTGCATGATAATCAAGGTGGGCCATTTCCTGCACAAATCCAGGTTCTCTCACCCCCTCATCCCCCTCCAAAAACCACACACACAAACTCACTATCTTGCTGGTAATAGCTTATCCAAAGTGACACTCTCCCTACAATGTGCATGATAATCAAGGTGAGAATATTCAACATTCTAGGTGCCTGATACCTACCTGGTAGTTGGAAACTGCTGTGGAAAATTTTCTGCTGGTGTGGTCCATCCTAATTAGCTCATGTTATTTAGTTTGAGCCTCATTGAAAACTGAAGATAGAAAACTGAGCAATTATTTTTGCCTACAGCAAAACAGATAATATGCTGGTATCATGGCTGTCCAGCTATAATCATTAGGAGGACATTTTTTTCTGCAGCTATAACAACAGTTCAGCAGCATGGTGAACACAGGGAAGGGACTATTGTGCTTAAACATCTGTCACTTAAAAACAATTGAAATATAGGATGTGGTTGCACAATTATTTTTAGCATCATTAGTAATTGTATTGTAAGCAGTTTCTTTGGCTTTGAAAAAAGCTGTTCAGTCTGAAAAAAATAGCCTTGAATTAGAAAGCTTTTAACAGCAGTGATCTACAATACTGGGCATAGTAGCTCTGCAACAAAGGTGTTTTATGTTTAGAATTGTGGCACCTTATTAAATACCAGGCAATGTAATTATTTTTACGGGCTGTGAAAATGGGAAAGATGTTTGTATTTGCTGTAAGTGAAGCACTCGGGGGGCGGGGGCGCAAGTTTTCTTCTAGTAACACCAGAGTAACAGCAGAGGAATTCTAATGAAGTCAGTGGAGTTACTCCATATTTGCAACAGTATGACTGAGAGCAGAATCTGGTTCAGAATGTTCCACATCATTCTGTGTGCAGAATACAGAAAATGTATATGCTAAAAATGTGTTTGTTTCTCTCTTCTCTTATCAGACAGTATAACGGAAGTCTTCACTAACATCTACGTAACCAGCTTTGGACCTGTTTCAGACACAGACATGGTGAGTTCCTGAGTGAGCTAAGAAAGGCTGAGGAGAGCTACTGTTGACCTTAAAGAATGTTTACATTCTGCTCCCATTTACACTGGAGCAAATCAGAAGTGTCATTGAAATCAATAGAATTATGGCACTATAAACTTGATATACATGTCAAAAGATGTAGTGTGACTTAGGTGGTCATAGGTTTTCTTTTGGTCCTCTGCGCTTGGGTGGATTTCACCTGCAGTGAAGTCAAGTCAGGGAAGCCTATCAGTAACAGTCCCCAAGTTGTTATAAATGTTTTGTTGAATGGCTTTGTTTATATCCACTCTTTATAAAGAAGAGCATAGATCCCTAATCACTGGACAAGTTGAGGAGCTTTCAAGGACTTTGGGTGGATGGCTTGGGACAAAGAGACAGAAAGTGGGCTGTGAGGTTTGTTCTGGGTGGGCCTCAAACTCCGCCCCCACAATGAAATGATCTGAGAAGAATTACTGGAGGGGAGGGGGCCCTTGTACTTTTGAGTTTCTGACAGGCAGTTTTGAACAATGGCTCCAGTCCAGCAAACACTTGTGTAAATTATTTTTAGGTAGTCTCCTGAAAGTCATTGGACCAGCAGGATCAGGACCAATGGCTATTAAAAGAAAGAAGCTAACAATATTGGCCAACAGGGCCAGTCCCAGGTGTGCTGTCACCCAGAGTGGAAAATGTTTTCCCCAAATGGCTGTGAAAACCCCCCACCAATCTCTTTCCCCCATTTGTCTCCCATAATGATGGGAATTTGCTACCCCCAGAGGTTGGCATCCACAACAGATGCTCTGAGCTCCTTCCCCGGAGTCTGGCCTCTCCCTGTCTCTGAATCATCATGTTATGATATGGATCATTCTGTAATTGACAACTATTAACAGGTTAATTGGTAATAGGGCTGTGAAAGATACAAGGAATTTGAGAAATTCATAACATGAGGTTTTGGAGGGGTTTTTGATTCATGAAATGGGTGCAATTTTGCAAAGAAATAACAATTTTTTTTTCTTGAAAGAAGCACTGTTTTTGAATAATATTTGCCAGTTGCAACTGACACACTATATACTGGATTTTATTAGATATTTCAAATAAAAAGCTGATTTTAGAAAAAAAAGTATGTTTGTTTTCTTGGGCGGCATTATAGATGGCCTTGATTCTTGTGAATAGCAGGAAATGTTTTTTTCCCCCTAAGGATATGAAATGAAGCTTCTAAAATCATTTGTATTTTGTTAGCTAGCACTATAGGTTTGATTCTCCACACAATATACACCAGGGCAAAAAAGGTGTAAAATTTTATCTATCTTAGGTACTTATATGGCCCCCTTAACCGTAATATCTGAGCACCTCACAGTCTTTAATGTATTTATCTTCACAACACCTCTGTGGGAAAGGGAAGTGCTGTTATCCCCCCATTTTACAGATGGGTTATTGAGGCACAGAGAGACTTAGACCTGGATCCACAAAGGGCTTAGGCACCTAAATCCCACTTTCAGGTGTGATCCACAAAACTCCTGTGTAGCTGCCACCTAAACCTGTAGGTGCCTAAACTAACATGGCACATAAGTTCTGTCTGAAAAAGTTCCCTAGGCACCTATGTTTCTGCCTCAGGGCATTCTCATTGCTGCCTCACTCTGGGCACTTGGAGACCTATATCCACCTAAGCCCCAAAGTGATCTATGAAGCAGGAAAAGATGGGCTGATGATAGGATCCCACATCGCAGATGAGTATCCTAATCACAGGGCTAACGGTTCCTCCTCTGCTACTGCCATTGCTACCACCTGCCATTTTGTATGGAGCAAGACAGCTGCCTAACTCTTAATCACAAGAAACACCTTAGGCATCAAACTGCTTGACTCCAGCAGAGGGGTTCCCAGTTGTGGCTCGGAAGCTGAAATATTGCCTCCTTGCAGCCTGGAGATAGACACTGAACTCTGAGAGGGACTGGGGTTAGAACACACTCCTCTCCCGGGCATCTCCCATTGGCTAGCTTAGGCAGTTTGCTGCCTAGCCTGCTGGCTTTTGTGGATTGTGTTTTAAAGCAACTGTTTCTCCCCATTCATTGTATAGGGAGCTAGGCAACTAGCTTAGGGTTTGTGGATCCCCTTGTTGTTCAAGTGATTTTCTAGGTGCCTAAAAGGGCAATATCCAAGTCCCTTTGTGGGTTTGGGTCTTAGTGACTTCCCCAAGGTCACGTAGGAAGTCTGTGGCTAAGTAGGGACTTAAACCCAGGTCTCCCAAGTCCTGGCTGCTAACCATTTGATCATCATTCCTCTCCAAAATATTGTCACTGGTATACGTGGAGAAGTTTGACTTTGCAGTAAATGACCACACAAGGTGTGCAGCAATGGAGAATCAGATCATATGATATCAGTCCTATTAATGCAATTTTCAGGGGAATACTTGTGGAAATGAACTACAGTGAATCAAAATGACAGTTGTTACCATTGGCTGTAGATCTGTTTGCAGTTATGTAGATAGATAAATAGAAGTGGTTTAAGTTTTCACTAACACCAAAGTTTCAGGCTTAAATAACGTGCAATTGACTCTTACAAAATTACGTTTAATGCCAAGCAGGAGTCAGCTTCAAAAACTGAGTTTAAAATAATTATTGATTTCCAAGTAATCACAGATCTGTCAAACATGAAAATGATATTTGTGTATATGCCATAAATTATCTTTTAAGCAAATATTACGTTCAGCTGGACTCTGTGTAAATTTAAACCACTATACATAGGTCCACAGAATATCTGTATGAGGAGGCTCTAAAGGGAGGAAAACTCTTTGATATTCCCGTGACTGATATGGCAATTTCCTTCAATATCTTTGGAAGACCTTATTTTATTAAGTTTATGTATTAAGTTGGGCAAAGATTGTATGTAACTTCCCTTGGGGAGAGAGATGACATGTGAAATCTGGGAAGTTTAAAGGGGTTCAAAAGACTGTATTGAATTGTGCCAGATAAACATGGACTTGTGGGGACGGTAAGAGTTAAGTGGATTCCCTGGAGAATTCCTAGAGAGTACCTAATGCAAAGTCCACATCTCCCGTTATACAAAAACCCAGCCTTTTGAATCTGTGCCCTGAGGAGAGGGTCGTTGTTTGCTGATTACCTGTTACAGAAGGTCAAGATCAAAGACCCAAGCTGTATAAATGACTGATCTGCTCAGACTTCATTCTGGTCCTAGAGCTAAGATGGATGAATGTGTAATCATGGGGAAAACCCAGTTGTGAGTTTTGAAGGACTAAAACCTACCAGAGCCCTAGGTTGGAGCTGGGGGTGACCTCTGGTAAACTTTTTAGCATGCATGTAGGTTCTTTTATTGCTTTAATATGCTTCTCTGTAATGCTTTTTACCTTAAGAATAAATATGCTTGCTTCAAAGGAGCTGTATGGTGACTTACATCTGCAGACAATACACTGGTCAGAGCCCTCAAAGAGAAAGCAAATTGCAGGTGCTCGCCTTTTAGGGTGTCTGGCTTGTTGGGGATATCACAATGGAAGGCAGGGAGTTGGGCAGTCTTAAGATTCCTAATTAGGAGGGAGTGAGATGCTTGTCTCCGGCCAAGAGAGGTGATGGCTGAGGAGCCGGAAGCCTTAAGTGGGTGCCCTTGGTTGACTACAGAGTGGGAAGACGGGTTCAGTTGCTCTAAAACTGACTGTTTGCTTTCAGAGTTTTTCCCAAATTGTTTCACCGGGAGGATGGGTTTGATCTCCCCCTGGCCTTCTGGGGTGGCAGGGTTATAGAAATTTTGGTGGTGCCCAGAACCCGCCCCTGCCCAAACTCTGCCCCCCATACTCTGCCCCCCACCTGCCCAAGGCTCTGGGAGGGACTTTGGGTGGGGAGGAGGTGGTATGGGGTGCAGGCCCTGGGCTGGGGAAGGGGACTGGGGTGCAGGCGGGGTCTGGGGTGCAGGCTCTGGGAGGGAGTTTGGGGACGGGAGGGGGTTCAGAGGTAGGGGGTGCAGTTCTGGGAGGAGTTTAGGGATGGGAGGGGGTGTGGATGAAGGCGTGCAGGGGTGAGGGCTGTGGGGTGAGGCTGGGGATGAGGGGTTCACAGTGCAGGAGGGGGCTCAGGTCTGGGACTCAGGGCTGGGGTGTTGGGGGCACAGGCTCTGGGGTGGGGCAGGGCCAGGGATAAGGAGCTTGGGGTGCAGACAGGCTGCCCCAGGGCTAGGGTAAGAGAGAACTCCACCACTCCGCTCCCTGCCGGCAGCAGCGAGCTCCGGGTGGGGGACCCCTCCTCTTCCTCCCCCCCCCAACACAGTCACTCTGCACCACTGTCACTGCACATGGTCCTAGGGCCCCTCTCAGGTCCAGGAAGCCCCCTCGCCTCCCCTATGGTGTCCCCTGTGGTGGGTACCGGGGGGGAGGGGCTGCCGTCATGTGTGGCCTCCCTTGCTGCTGCCCCTCACCATAGCCTCACTTGGGGTGGGGGATGGGGCTGCGCTTTGCTCAGCGTGGGGCAGGAGTGGTGGCTGCAGGGGGAGTGGGGGGGTCAGATTATAGGTCAAACACTCACCAAAGCCCCAGAAGCTGCTCAGGTGAGTGCGGTCCACTGTAGATGATCAGGTCTCCCGCCGGAAGTCCCCTCGGCATCTCCTCCTGGTGGGTGCCGGGGGAGGGGATGGGAGGGCTGCCAAGCACGTGTGTGCCGCCTCCTCCCCCTCCTGAGTGCTCAGCCTGCTGCCAGCGTCTCTTCTTGCCACAGGCGGCAGCAGCTGGCAGCACGTGCAGGCAGGCAGGCAAGGGAGAGGCGCCCGCCGCTTTCATTCTGGCAGGGACGCTCCGGGCCGGGGGGCAGATCGGGGGTCGGGAGGCAGGTGAGGGCCGGGGTCTGCTCCAGGTAGGGCCGGGGGAGAGACCAAGCTCCAAATATTGGTGGAGCAGGGCCCCCGGGTCTGAATATTCCTGGAGCATGGGCACCACGAGCACATACAGAGGGGGAGATCCACACTGGAAAGATAGGATGGGGCAAATGGAATTGTGGTGGAATAGCATT